ATTTCACAATTTGTATGGAAATACAAAAAACCTCGAATAGCCAAAGAAATCTTGAGAAAGAAGAATGGAACTGGAGGAATCAACCTGCCTGACTTCAGACTCTACTACAAAGTTGCAGTCATCAAGACAGTATGGTACTGGCACAAAGACAGAAATATAGATCAATGGAACAGAATAGAAAGCCCAGAGAGAAATCCACATACCTATGGACACCTTATCTTCGACAAAGGAGGCAAGGATATACAATGGAAAAAAGACAACCTCTTTAACAAGTGGTGCTGGGAAAACTGGTCAACCACTTGTAAAAGAATGAAACTAGAACACTTTCTAACACCATACACAAAAATAAACTCAAAATGGATTAAAGATCTAAATGTAAGACCAGAAACTATAAAACTCCTAGAGGAGAACATAGGCAAAACACTCTCCGACATAAATCACAGCAGGATCCTCTATGACCCACCTCCCAGAATATTGGAAATAAAAGCAAAAATAAACAAATGGGGCCTAATTAAACTTAAACACTTTTGCACAACAAAGGAAACTATAAGCAAGGTGAAAAGACAGCCTTCAGAATGGGAGAAAATAATAGCAAACGAAGCAACAGACAAAGGATTAATCTCAAAAATATACAAGCAACTCCTGAAGCTCAATTCCAGAAAAATAAATGACCCAATCAAAAAATGGGCCAAAGAACTAAACAGACATTTCTCCAAAGAAGACATACAGATGGCTAAAAAACACATGAAAAAATGCTCAACATCACTCATTCTCAGAGAAATGCAAATCAAAACCACAATGAGGTACCATTACACGCCAGTCAGGATGGCTGCTATCCAAAAGTCTACAAGCAATAAATGCTGGAGAGGGTGTGGAGAAAAGGGAACCCTCTTACACTGTTGGTGGGAATGCAAACTAGTACAGCCACTATGGAGAACAGTGTGGAGATTCCTTAAAAAACTGGAAATAGAATTCCCACATGACCCAGCAATACCACTTCTGGGCATACACACCGAGGAAACTAGATCTGAAAGAAACCCCAGTGTTCACCGCAGCACTGTTTATAATAGCCAGGACATGGAAGCAACCTAGATGCCCATCAGGAGATGAATGGATAAGGAAGCTATGGTACATATACACAATGGAATATTACTCAGCCATTAAAAAGAATTCATTTGAATCAGTTCTAATGAGATGGATGAAACTGGAGCCCATTATACAGAGTGAAGTAAGCCAGAAAGATAAAGACCAATACAGTATACTAACACATATATATGGAATTTAAAAAGATGGTAATGATAATCCTATATGCAAAACAGAAAAAGAGACACAGATGTACAGAACAGACTTTTGGACTCTGTGGGAGAAGGCGAGGGTGGAATGTTCTGAATGAATAGCATCGAAACAAATATAGTATCAAGGGTGAAACAGATCACAAGCCCAGGTTGGATGCATGAGACAAGTGCTCAGGGCTGGTGCACTGGGAAGACCCAGAGGGATGGGATGGGGAGGGAGGCAGGAGGAGGGATCGGGATGGGGAACACATGTAAATCCATGGCTGATTCATGTCAATGTATGGCAAAAACCACTACAATATTGTAAAGTAATTAGCTTCCAACTAATAAAAATAAATGAAAAAAAAATGAGATGAGCTGTTGTAGTTTATAGCAAGACAACACATTTAAGAACCTAATGTATTTAGAAGGGTCAGGGGTTTCCAAATTTCAAAGAACTCCTTTATATATTAGCTGAGTTTGGTGGATTCAGATAAAACCACCTCATCGCAAGCCATAGGAGGCAAAGGCTGAGGGTCTGGCCAAAGAAACTTCCATTCAATCTCCTTTACCACCACCAAATCCAATAGAAAGGAAGAGGAAATATTCTCCCTAGAGGAAACTGGGGCACTTAAATCTAATTTTGCAGCAGCAGCAGCAGCAGCAGGAGACTTTAGAGCTCCACCAGAGCCCACATCTTGTCTCTGCCAGCCAGGACAATGAAGGACCTACCAGTAAGCTAGAAACAAAGACCTTTCCCTTCTCCTCGCCCCTGGACTAGGGCCTGCTGGTCAACCTGAACACTTAAGAAGTAGAGATAAGTCATGTGAGAAAGGTAGGGGGCAAGAGAATCTCTTGCTACAAACACCCAGATTGGCCTGGAGAAACTACTAGAGAACAGGGCATTTACTTTCTGTCCTCAGAGGGAAGCCCAGGGAAATTGCTAACAGCATCAACACATTATGGGGCCATCTGGAGGGGGATTAGATTAGAAAGGCCTGAGGGAAGTGGTTGAGCATCTCCCTCTCCTCTCCTATGGCATAAAGTAATCAGGAAAGTCCGCAGTTCCCTCTTGTCTCCAGTGGAAATAGGAGAACAGGTGATGAGCTGAGAGCCTGAGAGATCTGTCAGCAGTAGACCCCTGTGCAGAAAGGGAGTGTGAGGGGCTGTGTGTGAACAGCCTAAACCTAGGGATTAGATGGAAGATTTGACTGAGATGAAGGGCGGAGTCAGTGGGGCTGTCAACAGGACCAAGAAGTTTCCTCAGTCATGGATCACACACAATGAGGGACCCTGCCACAGAAGTCAGTGAATGTCCAGAACTGGGCCCTACCTCCTCATGGGCTGCCCCAGGGCCTTTGCACTTCACATTCCCACCGGCTTGAATATTCTCCATAAATCCATAGGGATCACCTCTTACCCTCCCTCAGGTCAGGGTGAGCCATTCCATGAGCACCCCTTTAAAACAACAAATTTACATCCCTGTGGTATTTGCTATCCCCTTTCCCACCTACTCTGCTCATCATACCACCTGACATTTCATATGTTTCACTTATTTACAAAAATATCTGTTCTCTCAACAGAATGCAAACTCCAAGAGGCTAAAGACTTTGCTTACCTTGTTTTGTTCTCGTGTGTTCACTGCACTACCTCCTGCACCTATCACAGTGCCTGGAATATGAAATTTGCTCAACGTGTTTACTGATAGCTCAGTTGGTAAAGAATTCGCCTGCAATGCAGGAGACCCTGGTTCGATTCCTGGGTCAGGAAGATCCCCTGGCGAAGGGATAGGCTACCCACTCCAGTATTCTTGGGCTTCCCTTGTGGTTCAACTGGTAAAGAATCTGCCCACAATGCGGGAGACCTGGGTTCAGTCCCTGGGTTGGAAAGATCCCCTGGAGAAGGGAAAGGCTACCCACTCCAGTATTCTGGTCTGGAGAATTCCATGGACTGTACAGTCCATGGGGTCCCAAAGAGTCAGACTTGACTGAACGACTTTCACTTTCACGTTTATTGAATGAGCCAATAAATTAAATCATGACATCTAGTTAACTTCTAAATCCAGGTGCTATCCTTGGAAACAGAAAGGGAACAGAAGGAGAAATTCTCAAAAACTAAATATTTATTCAAAAGAGACTGAATTAACCTGAAACTTTTTTTTTCCATTTATTTTTATTAGCCGGAGGCTAATTACTTTACAATATTGTAGTGGTTTTTGCCATACATTGACATGAATCAGCCATGGATTTACATGTATTCCCCATCCCGATCCCCCCTCCCACCTCCCTCTCCACCTGATCCCTCTGGGTCTTCCCAGTGCACCAGCCCCAAGCACTTGTCTCATGCATCCAACCTGGGCTGGTGATCTGTTTCACCCTTGATAATATACATGTTTTGATGCTGCTCTCTCTAATCATCCCACCCTCGCCTTCTCCCACAGAGTCCAAAAGTCTGTTCTGAAACTGTTTTAAACCAGAATTGATGAGCATTTATTTAACTGCAGAGTTTAGGCACAGTCCTTTAGTGCCTTCCACCACCCCTCTCCCCAACCGTCGCATCAGCAGGATGGAATTTCCTGGGAAAATTTAAAGTACATAAAATGAAGAAGCTACACTTTTTTTTTTTTTTTTGCATACCAAAATTTCAGTGTGTTCAATGTTGTTCCCTCAAACTGATGTTACTATACACATGCCTTTGTTGTAGTAGATTGAGAAATGGGGACATGGAAACTCTGAGCCACTGAGCTACTTACTGGAGGTCACAGAGTTAGAAAATGATTGAGCAGTGTTTAACCCAGGTTCTGGGGCTTTCCTCTCTATCCCCAGCTGAGTAGTATTTCAGGCATTTGCCACAGGCAGGTACAAGGGCTGAGGTGAGGAAATTTATACATTTCAGCCCTGTGGACAGGTGAGGTGAAAGCCTTGGCTGAGCAGAAGTTTCTATCAGTTGAAAAAGAGGGGCCAGACAGCGATGCTAGAGTTGGTGGAATAGCCCTTTTTTGCTTAAGCTTTTCCACAGTTCCTCACCTGGCAGTCAAGGCTCATCAAGACGTGAACCTTGACTGCTTCTGCAGTCTTAACCCTTGCCACACCCTTAACCCTGGGCTTCCAGATCCTGGGTTTCCCTGGTGACTCAGATGGTAAAGAATCTACCTGCAATGCAGGAAAGCTGGGTTCAATCCCTGAGTTGGGAAGATCCCCTGGATAAGGGAATGGCTACCCACTACAGTATTGTTGCCTGGAGAACCCCATGGACAGACCACTGCGCCCCCTGGGAAGTCTGAATCCCTCCCAGGCCATGTCATTTATCTCTGTGGTCCTAGCTTCCCAACACAGGGACTGGCACAGAGATGGTAACAGTTAAAGATGAGCTTTGCTTTCTCCTTAAGGTGGCTGCGGTTTGTACTAAGCCTAGATCATTCTGGGGCCTATTTTGTGACATGGCTACTATTGTGTATCTTCCGCCTGCTTCTCCTACTCATCCTATGCATTCTTCTTCACGAGCTAACCCACCTAAGCATGCTCCCCGGGACAGCAGGATGGGGTGACCGAAGCTGTCCATGTTGTAGTGGGTATCTAAGACCTGCTGCCTGGCCACCGGGGAGGGCTCCTCCTCTACAAGGTGACTGCCCAAGGCCTGGCAGCCCATGCTCCCCGTCCGTGGGATTCTGTGTCCAGATCTCTCTCTCCGCACCCTGTGCCCCTCCCCTGAAGAGGCCCAGGTTACCTGGAGTGAGCTGGGACAAGAGCAGCAGTCCAGCCAGAATCAGCGAGAGGAGCTTCATGGCTGCTAGTGGCCAAGGGACGCGGCAATGGCAAAGCAGCTTGGCAATGTGATGCGATGGCAAAGCTAAGGGTGGAGTGCTCCGGCCTCTCTGGCTCCCGCTCCTTTGCTCCAACCGGAACAGATGTCACCCGCACGTGCCTGCCGCCGCCCGCCCGCGGGCACGGCCCCCGAACGCCCTGAGCTGGCATACTTGCTTTTCTCATTTAGGTCACGCGATAGGGTTCGACTGCCAACCAAGGGACCACCAGGGGGCGCCACGCACGCGGAACCCAGAAGGTCAGGGAAGATTTCGTAGAGAAGATGGCAGTGAACCGTGTTTTGAGAAACAAAGACCAAAACGCCAGGTGGATGAGCCCACATGGCTTTCCAGGCAAAGGGAAGTCTGTACAGAGGCTTCTGTTGGTGCTGAACATGAGAAATATACTGTAACTGGGGCTAAAATCCGCAGGAGAATGGAAAGAAGAGATGCAGTTCCTAGCAGGAGTCTGGCTGTGCCCTTTCACAAGTATCAGCAGCTGCAGCCCCTGCCATCCCAGGGCTACCCCCGTGGTCAGGCCTTCTGGGGGCCAGGATGTGCCCCGTCCTCAGAGGTCCAAGAACCAGCTGTTGTAGTGGGGAGGTCCCTTCTCTGAACTCTTAGGATTTGAAAATCCATTCCCTTCCCTCAGTTCCGGCTGCCTAAGGGTAGTAGCTTCATTCTCTGGCTGCTGATGCTCAGTCGCTCAGTTGGGTCCGACTTCTTGTGACCCCATGGCCTGCAGCATGCCAGGCTTCCCTGTTCTCCGCTGTCTCCTGGAGTTTGCTGGAATTCATGTCCATTCAGTCAGTGATGCTATCTAACCGTCTCATCCTCTGCTGCCCACTTCTGTAGCTTTCAGTCTTCCCCAGGATTAAGGTCTTTTCCAATGAGTTGGCTCTTTGCATCAGGTGGTCAGAGTGTTGGAACTTCAGCTTCAGGATCTGTCCTTCCAGTGAATATTCGGAGCTGATTTCCTTTAGGATTGACTGGTTTGATCTCTCAAGAGTCTTCTCCAGCACCACAGTTCGAAAGCATCAATTCTTCCTCACTTAGCCTTCTTTATGGCCCAACTCTCGTATCCGTACAGGACTACTGGAAAAACCTGTGGTTACTAATACCTGTTTCCTCAGGGTCCTCTTTTTGCTGTTTCTGCCTTCCAACAGCAATGTAACTGATTCCATACATTAAGTATGCTATGTGACTTTCATTTCTTTGACTGGACCCTATTTGACACAGATGTCAAGGGTATAAAAGCATGATCCCATGGACAGAAGAGCCTGGTGGGCTACAGTTCATGGGGTTGTAAAGAGTAGGACATGACTTAGCGACTAAACAACAACAATGGCTTATGAGACAAAATAACATTGAAAACCATTTTTGTAGGGACAGAAAACAGATTGAGGAGGTTGAAGACTGAAAGATAAGTGAAGGAATGAGATCAGTAAGTGTAAGCAACTCTTTCTAAAACCTTTAAGATGAAAAAGAGACAGTAGCTAGGAAGGACTCAGTGCCTAAGGCGTAGAAATCCATGATTGTTGTTCATTTCTGTTGCATGTGTGTACTCGGTCATTTCTGACTCTTTGTGACCCCAAGGACTGTAGCCCACCAGGCTTCTCTGTTTATGGGATTCTCCAGGCAAGAATACTGGAGTGGGTTACCATTTCCTCCACCAGGGTCTCTTCCTGACCCAGAGATAGAACCTGCATCTCCTGTGTCTCTTGCGTTGGCATGTGGATTTGTTATCACTAAATCACTTGGGAAGCCCTTCATTTCTGTTAAGGAAGCTCATTTTTTCAAACATATGTTAGTTAAAACTCAATTAGGGAAGCAGCAGTACTGCTATCAGCATTATGGGCTAAGGAATTTATTACAAGAATGAAACTATTCAATTGTGGGAACAGCTGGGAAAGTAAAGAGCTCTCTGGGGTCGCTGAAGGAGCTGGTGCAGAAGCCTGTGAAAGGTCACTTGCTCTTCAAAACTACTGCCTATTTGAATTCATTTGTTGTTCAGTTGCTTAGTTTTGTCCAACTCTTTGTGACTGCATGGACTGTAGCATGCCAGGCTTCTCTGTCCTCCACTATCCCCCTGAGTTTGCTCAAACTTATGTCCATTGAGTCGGTGATGCTATCTAATCATCTCATTCTCTGCTGCCCTCTTTTCCTTTTGCCTTCAATCTTTCCCAGCATCAGGGTCTTTTCCAATGAGTTGGCTCTTGGCATCAGGTGGCCAAAGGAGCTTCAGCAATAGCTCTTCCAGTGAATATTCACAGTTGATTTCCTTTACAATTAACTCTCTTGACTTCCTTGCAATCCAAGGGACTCTCAAGAGTTTTCTTCAGCACCACAATTTAAAAGCATAAGTTCTTCGATGCTCAGCTTTCTTTATGGTCCAACTCTCACATCTATACACGACTACTGGGAAAACCATAGCTTTGACTATATGGGCCTTTGTTGAGTTCATAGAGAGGTGTTTAGTTTTGGGCCTGAACCTGGGTCAGTTTGGTTGGAAGGGCTGGCACTGGGGAGGAGAGCTGATGTGTAGCAGGGAACAATGAAGACAAACTGAAACTTGCAGACACCCCTTACCGCCTCTAACCAGTGACAGCCTTCAGAACACAGGGATGCTGCTTCATTTCCAACTCCCCAGTATCATGCAAAAAAAAAAAAAAAAAAAAAAAAAGAAAGGAAAGAGAGAAAAGAGTTTGTGGCAAAGCCTAACTTGATTCCAGACAGGGAAAGGAATTGCGAAATCCTAGTTTGGGCTACAAAAACAGCACCAAATGCTTATGTTCAAACTCATCACATTGTATGCATTAAATATACGCAGTTTTAAGTTGGGGCGACGGACTCTCCGTCTTAGTACTGTGGCCCAGTTTGTTCCATAACCTCGCGGAGAAGGCCCCGGCGCTGGTCAGTGCTGCTGTGACTTACTCGAAGCCTCGATTGGCCACATTTTGGTACTATGCCAAGGTTGAGCTGGTTCCTTCAACCCCTGCTGAGATCCCTACAGTAATTCAGAGCTTGAAAAAAAATTATCAACAGTGCTAAAACCGGTAGCTTCAAACAGCTCACTGTTAAGGAAGCTCTACTGAATGGTTTGGTGGCCACTGAGGTGTGGATGTGGTTTTATGTTGGTGAGATCACAGGCAAGCGTGGCATCATTGGCTATGATGTTTGAAGACCAATTTTTAACATGTGATTATATTTGCTTTATTATTCAAGTCTTCTTGGACCATGTGTGAGCAGACTGCTATTTGAATAAAATAAGACAATGTGTCAGAAAAAAAAATATGCAGTTTTTTTTCTACTCAACAATTTGCAAAAAAATTTTTGCAAAATGCAGTTTTCTATTCTGGTGGCTAGGGAATGGGGCAGAAATGTATCAGTTGTATGCTGTCCTCCCTGAGAGAAGAGACCCTACTATCTAAAGTGCCTGGATACATAGAGAATTTTGGGGTGGTGGGTAGAAGAACTAGAGCTGAAAACATACAGTCCTGACTCTGATTTTCTGTTAATAACTTTGCAATTTTGGATAAAATTCAAACTCTTGTCCTTGACTTACCTGATCCAGTTGCTATGTAGCTCTCTGGCTTTCTCTCATATCAGTTCCCATTCATGCTCTATTCTTCAGCCATACTAGCCTTTATTCTTTCCATCAAGCACATTATATCTGCTTGTGCTTGCTATGCCTTTTACCTGAAATATTCTTATCAATTTTCTTGCTATTGGCTCCTTTGTGTCACTCATGTCACTTTATATTGAATTTATCAAGCTCCTGCTGTATACTATTCCAGGATCATGAATTTTTAAGTCAGATAGATTTAGGTTGAGTACCTGACCTTCAAATTGTTAGTTTTCTGAAATTGTATAAATAACTTAGCTTCTACTGACTTAAGGTTTTCATGGATAAAAAGACTTAATGTTACATAGCCCACTGAATTGTTAAAAAGATTAAATGAGTAAAATATGTAAAGTTCTTAGAAGAATGTTTAAAACAGTAACTTTTGATTAATTGTTAATGATCATGACATTAAAAAATCAGTTAATTAATCTCAGAATGTACAGAAAAAAGCATGTAAGAATGATGCCTGGGGCTTCTTCTGGAAAGACTCTATGGTTTTCTGCTCATATCTGTCACTTGAAGATTGGGCTTACCTGGGAATGTCAGAGTTTCAGGAGGAGGCAATATTAAACATTGATAGTTTAGTAATCAGTGAACTAAAACAGACAGGAATGGGCAAACTTAATTCAGATGACCATTATATCTATTATGGTGGGCAAGAATCCCTTAGGAGAAATGGAATAGGTTTCATAGTCAACAGAAGTCTAAAACACAAGTACTTGGTTGCAACCTCAAAAATGACAGAATGATCTTGGTTCATTTGCAAGGCAAACTATTCAACATCAGAGTAATCCAAGTCTATGCCCCAGCCACTATTGCTGAAGAAGCTGAAGTTGACCAGTTCTATGAAGACCTACAACACTGTCTAGAACTAACACCAAAAAAGATAGGGAATTGGAGTTCAAAAGTAGGAAGTCAAGAGATACCGGGAGTAGCAGGCAAGTTTGGCCTTGGAAAAGTGAAACAGGGCCAAGACTAATAGAGTTTTGTCAAGAAAACATGATGGTTATAGCAAACACTCTCTACCAACCATCCAAGAGAAGACTCTACACATGGACATTACCAGATGGTCAGTACCAAAATCAGTTTTATTATGTTACTTGCAGCCAAAGATGGAGAAGCTCTATACAGTCAGTAAAAATAAGACCTGGAGCTGACTGTGGCTCAGATCATGAACTCCTTATTGCAAAATTCAGGCTTAAATTGAAGAAAGTAGGGAAAACCACTAGACCATTCAGGGATGACCTAAATCAAATCCCTTATGATTACACAGTAGAGGTGACAAATAGATTTAAGGGATTAGATCTGGTAGACAGAGTGCCTGAAGAACTGTGGATGGAGATTTGTAACATTGTACAGGAAGCAGTGACCAAGACTATTCCAAAGAAAAAGAAATGCAAGAAGACAGTGGTTGTCTGAGGAAGCTTTAGAAATAACTGAGGAAAGAAGAGAAGCTAAAGGCAAGGGAGAAAGGGAACGATATACGCAACTGAGTGCAGAGTTCCAGAGAACAGCAAGGAGAGATAAGAAGGCCTTCTTAAATGAACAATGCAAAGAAATAGAGGATAGTGATAGAATGGGAAAGACTAAAGATCTCTTCAAGAAAACTGGAGCAATCAAGGAAACATTTCATGCAAGGATGAGCACAATAAAGGACAGAAACAGTAAAGACCTAACAGAAACAGAAGAGATTAAAAAGTTGCAAGAATACACAGAACTATACAAGAAAGGACTTAATGACTCAGATAACCATGGTGGTATGGTCACTCACCTAGAGCCAGACAATTTGGAGTGTGAAGTCAAATGGGCTTTGGGTAGCATTATTGTGAGCAAAGTTAATGGAATTGACAGAATTCCAGCTGAGCTATTTAAAATCCTAAAAGATGATGTTCTTAAAGTGCTGCTCCTAGTAGGTCAGCAAATTTGAAAATCTCAGCAGTGGCCATAGGTCTGGAAAAGGTCAGTTTTCATTCCAGTCCCAAAGAAGGACAATGCCAAAGAATGTTGAAACCACCCCACAATTGTGTCTTTGAGTGTGTAGATCACAACACACTGTAGAAAATTCTTAAAGAGATGGGAGTACCAGACCATCTTATCTGTCTCCTGAGAATCCTGTGTACTGGTCAAGAAGCAACAGTTACAACTGGACATGGAGCATTAATTGGTTCAGAATTGGGAAGGGAGTACAACAGCTGTATACTGTCAGCCTGCTGATTTAATTTCTATGTAGAGTACATCATGTGAAATACCAGGTTGAATGAATCATAAGCAGGAATCAAGATTGTCAGGAGATTCAGTTTTCTTATTTGTAATGTGAAAATAATGATCGTTATCTCATATGATTTTTGTGAGGAACCTTGGTGCAGAGTTGAATATTCAACAGATGATGGCTATTATTATTACTTCATTTTTAGAACCATGCATAATAAACTTGTAATAATGGTTGTTTCCAGAAAGAAATGGGTATCTGGGGAAGGGAGTGGAAGGGAGACTTACATTTTGGTGTATTTATCTTTTTATATTTTTCAAACTCTCCATCCTCTGTATACATTACCAATTCAAAATAAAGATTGGTTGTAAAACTTAAAAAAGAAAAAGGGTTGTAGGAGAAATATCAACCTCAGATATACAGATGATACCACTCTAATGGCAGAAAGTGAAGAGGAACCTCTTGATGGGGGTGAAAGAGGAGACTGAAATTCATTCAGTGAAAGTCTGAATGAATATTTTCCCTTCTCTACTTCACTACCAAACTGGAAAATTACATTTGAAGAAACGAGTTTGCTCAGCTTACACTAAAGCATGATAAGAGTGGATCTCTAGGACAGATAATGAGGTACTGTATAGAACTTAATAAAGACTACACATTTTTTTCAATGTGTAACATGGAGACTTGGAGAATTGTAGATTGAGTTATAACAAGGGCTGAGACCTATTTTTAAAGGTCCCTCTGGAATTGTATGATTTCCCTCTGCTGTCCCTTAAAAGGTGGAAGTAGATAAAGGGAGGCATATCAGCTCAGGGGTGTGTGGTCCAAAGGTGGATGCATGGGCATTGGGATAGTAATTGAGAAGCCTGAGGGAGGCAGAATGTTCCAGGGCCAACTGTACCCGTGGGCAGCTGAGAGCACGTGTCTGTGACACGTGTCCTAGTTGATTAGAAGGAGCAGAGAGTCCAGAACTCTTCTTCATTTGGTGTCTCTTCGCCAGAACTGAGACTACCTCCTGGGCTCCCTGAAGTCATGAAGACTCTTTTGCTAACTTTGGCTGCACTGGTCCTCTCATCCCAGGTCATTGCAGGTAACCTAGGCCCTTTCTGGGGAGAGATGGAGGGGTGGAGGGTGGGGGTCATGGTTGGGATACTCCAGGGCTTGGGAGAATGGGCTGGCAGGCAGAAACATGAAACACCGTTGATCTGGGGGAAGAGGAAAAAGCCCCCAATCCCTGGGTGAGACTCCACCCCACCATTTAATAGCATGCTACTTGGCTCCTCTGAATTTCAGTGTACTTATTATTTATCAATTTGAAATAATGAAGTTGAGGGATCAACATTAACACACTGAAATTTTCTTGTGCAGCCAATGGAGCTTTTTAATTTTCGAACCCGCATAAGAAGGGATCTAGCACTTAAATGCTCATCTTTGCCAGTGAGAGGTGCCAGGTCTTAGGCAGCAATTATAACCTCCAGAATTTTCCTTCAGTGCCCCCAGATCCCTTCTCTTTGGTCAGCTCCGGGGGTCAAGGGCAGGAGGTCAGATGTGTGAGGAGCGGTGGGGGAGGACATGGAAAACAGGAAAGAAGGAAGGCAATAGTGATCTTTTCTCACAGTGACCCTGAAACCACTTGGATTTGCACTAATCACACCTGCCTTAAGTGAGGTTGAATCTCATGATTGCTGTTGCCTGTCTGTGCCAGCCTCGATACTGGAGCCATGGAAAGGTTTTAAGCAGAGACAAGGTCGCTTCAAACTTGCCCATCCCAAGGGGCTAGCAGCAGCCCCTCCATTTCATCTGATGAAAGTTGCTACCCCACTGCCCTCCAGATATCTCTTTAACCTTCCCAGAGTGTCAGGATGTGGGGGGATTGCTTGAGAGCAGTCTGGACCCATACTCAAGTCTGCTCATGGTAGACAGATACAGGAAATAGCATCTCCTGATGAGGAGAGAAGAATTCCCAAATCCTGGGTTAGTTAGAACCGGCTTCATCATTTATTAGTTCTGTGAACCCCACAAGCCACTTGGCTGCTCTGAGTTCCAATTTAGTCACTTTGAGCTTCCCTGGTGGCTGAGTGGTAAAGAACCCACCTGCCAATGCAGGAGATGCAGGTTCGATCCCTGGGTGGGGAGAAAGAAATGGCAACCCACTCCCGTATTCTTGTCTGGGAAATCCTATGGACAGAAGAGCCTGGCAGGCTACAGTCCATGGGGTTCCAAACGAGTCGGACACAATTTAGTGACTGAAACAGTAATAAAAATAATTAGGTTTAGGGTTCAACATTGAATACACTGAAATTTTAGTGTGCAACAGCTGTATCTTTTCTACTTTTTATAACTCTTGAGAGTTTTCCCGGGAACTTTCATTCTGTTGGTGAGAAAGTTGGAGGTTAGAAAGGTCCCAGGGGCAGTAGGTTAACTCAGCATACAATTTTATCATTTTCTGGTTTGAAACAGTTTTGGATTAAATCATTCTGCTTTGGGTAAATGTTTAGTCTTTCAGTGTTTCTCCTTTTCCTCTCTCCCTTTCTACTTCCCTTGATGGCAGCTGGATTTAGGGGCCAGTAGCTATGCCATTACTTAGTTAAAGAATTCACTTATTCAATAAATATTGTAGTGTTCATTCCATGTGTCAGGCAATGTAGTAAGTGCTGGAGATGGAGCAGTGAACCCACCCACCAACCAGCCAACCACCCAAAGTCCCTGTTGTCTTAGGGCTTACATTCTCTGTGGGGAGGCAATAAACAGTGTAAGCAAGGAAATGGATAGCAAGGAAATGGATAGCAAGCATCAGAGGAGGGAGATGTGGAATTTAAGAAGGGATGTAAGGGAATACCCCACTGAAACAAATTAGAACAAAGACATGAAGGAAGTGAGGGGGTGAGCCATGAAGATATGCTGGGAAGAACATTCATTTATTAGCTGAACTACTTATAAAAGAGATGCTCCTCTTCATCTGCTGTTTGGTTACCTTGTGATTTTGAGAATTCAGAGGGGCGAGGAAGGACAAATGCTTGATTCTGCCTTTGCTCTTCAGTTTGCAAGTTAATGAATTCATTTTCTGTTAACCTCTGAGGACAAACAATTTGTTTCTCTTAAATATTATTTTGGACTCATGGTTCTAAGCCACAGTTCCAATCTATTGCAATTATTCCTGTTGAAGCACAAAGTTTTCTATTCTTGACCGATGGGAATTTCTTCCATTTAGCTCTGGGTATGATAGAATAGTTTTAGGCTCATCTTACAATTTCTTACCCAAGAACTGGAAAAAATCACATTGCCAAGGTATTGATTTCTTTTATTTTAGTGGGAGATGGTATTTTTAGACTACAATATGAGTCCTAGGAATACTAATTTATATTGGTTGGTCAACATTTCTTACCTTTTTTTCATTCATTAGAACTGGAAAAATTTCTATCCAACCATCTGTCCACATACTTAGAAAATAAAATACTTGTGGGTTTATACTGGTACCTCCAACTCAAATACAGAACACAAATTCAGAACAATTTCTATACCACATTGGATTTTTAAAAATTGAAGTATAGTTGATATACAATATTATATGAGTTTTAGGTATATGATGTAGTGATTCAGTTTTTAATGGTTATATTCCTTTTAAATTTGCTGTAAAATATTGACTACATTCCCGTTGGTATACACTATAACCTTGTAGCTTCTTTTTATATATATATAGTAGTTTGTGCCTCTTAATCATCTCCCGCTATCTCACCCTCCCTGGTCCCCTTTCCCAGTGGTAGTTTATTCTCTATATGTAAGTCTGTTTTTGCTGTTGTTGTTTTTATATTCACTGGTTTGTTTTATTTTTTAGGTTTATTATTTTACTTGGCATAAGACCATCTAAGTCATTCCATGTTGTTGCAAATGGCAAAATTTCACTCTTTTAATGGCTGAGTAGTATTCCATTATTTGTATATACCACATCTCTTTTTCCATTCATATCTGTTGAAACCAGTATTTTTTCCTTGTGTTGAGAATCTTGGTTTTCAAGATCACAGAGGATGATAGAGTTAGAGTATTCCATAATTACTCATTTGATATCTCCCTTGTCACATATACAATAGTTTATGTATACTGTATAACAAAATCAAGAGTACCAGAATAACATGATTACTCAAACTAGTCAAAATTTGTGCATAGACTGTCACCAGTATTCTCCCATTTTTTTAAATTGTAATGTCTCTATATTGTCAGAACATATATCCACTACACGTTTCAGTATGTTGATACCAGTTTATTTTTGTCCTTTGTATTTAGAAGTTAGTTTTTTGATTATAATACTTTTCTTTTCTTGAATATCTTGATAGCATGACACCATTTTTTTTTCTGGGATAAAGCATTGCTCTCAAAAAGTCCATGTACGGTTTAATTTTTTTTTCCTTTATGTCATCCTATATTTTAGGGGCCTAAATACCCAAAGCTTTCTTTCCTTTTGTCCAGTAATTTTAGGAGAATGTATCTTGTCTTGGGTCAATATTTTCAGGTATGCTATGTATTTTTTCAGTACGTGCTTTCAAATCTTTTTCTATTTAGGAATATTTATTGAACCTAGTTTGCAGTATTTTTTCCATTCCCTTGATTTTGTTTTCTTCTTTGGTATTTCCTGTTATTTGTATGTTGAAATTCTTTTGTTTGTCATGAATATTTGTAACACTTATTTATTCCTTTTTATCTCTTTCTTTTTGATTAAGAAATCCTCTTTATCATCCTGTATTTATTTTAAGCCATTACCTCTTGCATTTTTTGATCATATGTTCCTTCTAGTTTAATCTTTACTTATGAAATAATTTTTAAAACTTGTGATTTTTTCTGAGGTTCTGTAATGTTATATCTAAATTTATTTAATGCTTGTTTTTTAATGCACTATTTCGCTTAATCCCAACAATAGCTTGAGGCAAGTGCTATATCTCCTTTTTAGAAAAGAGGAAATGGATGATCTGAGAAGTAAAATAACCTGCTTGAGGTCTTCCTCAATATGGTTTGTGCTGTAGACAGATTTCAAATCCAGCTCTATGAGTTCCAAGAGTCCATGCTCCTAATCATTATAACCCACTGACTCTAAGAGAAGGACCACTAGGGGTGGGCTGGGATTGGAATGGGCTGTCCAGAAAGAGTGTGAGACTATAACACCACTCTGTAAATCTAGACGTGATGTCCCCATTTTCAATGGTCCTTCTTTTTCTGCCTGGCTGTGCGTCCTCTCAAGCCAGGATTTATTTCCCCACAGGACTGATCCTGGCTTCCTTCTTTTTTTCTCTTTGTATCAGGCAGCACTGAAAAATGCTGGAGTCTTCATGGCAACTGCCGTGACACATGTTCCAGGAATGAAAAAGTATATGTTTTCTGCCTGAGTGGTAAACTGTGCTGTGTGAAGCCCAAGTTTCAGCCAAATATATCGCCACAGTTAATTAAAGCTTGAAGCCAAGGGCACAAAAATGAAGATAATGTTGCCCTGAGCCGGTCCTCAGCTGATTCCTGGGTTTCATTAAAACGCTTTTGGCTGACTTCTGTGTGTGTCTCTTAGTATACCTAACCAAACTCCAGTAGAAGAAGTGGGTAAGGAAGCAAACATTGGAGAGGAACCCGGTCGTACTATGTGCCAGGTATGCACCTACTACCTCACCTATTCAAGCAACCTAAGAGGAAGATACTGTCATCACTTTTATTTTATGGTTGGGGAAGCTCAGGCTGTTGAAATCATTCATCCAATTCTAGTTATATAGCTAACATGAGCAGGTGTTGGGATTACATATTAGCTTGCCTATAGCCTTGCAATTAGCTCCATGCCTCCTGGACATTCATGAATATACATACAAAGGCATATTGTATTTCTTTGAATCTCTCAAGTGAAAAACTAGGGGGTAGGACTTCCCCGGTGGCGCAGTGGAAAGAAATCAGCCTGCCAATACAGGGGACACAGGCTCGCTGCCTGTTCTGGGAAGATATCACATGCCACGGAGCAGCTAAGCCCATGTGCCACAACTATGGAAGCCTATACTCTCTCAGGTCTGCAAGCTGCAATTATGAGCTCCCGGGTCACAACTACTGAGCCTGCACTCTAAAGTCCATGCTTTGCAACAAGAGAAGCCACTGCAAAGGGAAGCCGACCCACCACACAAAGAGTAGCTCCCACTGACCACAACTAGAGAAAGCCCTCGGGCAGCAACAAAGACCCATCATGGCCCCCCAAAAAAGAGAGGGAGAAAAACAAAACAAAACAAAACAGGTAGACAACATTACATGCATGCTCATTTGCTCAGTTGTGTCTGACTCTTTGCGTCCCTATGGACTGGTAGCCTGCCAGGCTTCCCTGTCCATGGGATTTTTCAGGTACTACTGGAGTGGGTTGCCATTTCCTCCTCCAGGGGATCTTCCCGACCAAAGGAATCAAACCCTTGTCTCCTAGACAGCCTTATATGGGGTCCTATTTTCTGGGTTTGTTATAGAAACTCTTAAGCAGGAAACTGTTAATCCCCAGATCCAATTCTTACCCCATTGCTTCTCTCTCTTTTTACATCTAGTTTAAATTTTCCTCAAAGTCATACATCCACATGATTTAAAAATTGAATTTATTGAAACTAAACAACCCCCAAAATGTTCATCCATGTGATTTTAAGTGTCAACTTTGAATAAAAAACTAATAAAATATAGGAGTCACTCATTTCCCTTTCTCCATTTCTTGCCTCTTTCACAAAGAGGCAAAACCACTTATTTCTTTGGATTCTACTTCTCTAACTATTAATGCAAAAGATATGCTTACTTACATTGCTACTTATTTCTATTTCCAGGTTCAGGTGTTATTCATTGAATTCCTGCTAAGAAGATGAGAATTTAACTGTCTTTCGTATCTTTTAAATACATTAAGAATCATTGGTAGCTCAGCTGGTAAAGAATCCGCCTGCAACGCAGGAGACCCTGGTTCAATCCTGGGTGGGGAAGATCCACTGGAGAAGGTATAGGCTACCCACTGCAGTATTCTGACCTGGAGAATTCCGTGGACTGTATAGTCCATGGGGTTGCAAAGAGTCAGACACAGACTGAGCAACTTTCCCTTTCACTTTCTCTTGCTGTTGGCCTCTCTCCCTGGGCAGTCAGATCTGCTCTACTCTGAATTGGTTGCTTTTATGGTAAAGCGTCTGCCTGCAATACGGGAGACCCACGTTCAATCCCTGGGAAGATCCCCTGGAGAAGGAAATGGCAACCCACTCTAGTATTCTTGCTTGGAAAATTCCATAGACAGAGGAGCCTGGTGGGCTACAGTTCATGGGGTCACAAAGAGTCGGACACGACTGAGCGACTTCACTTTCACATACCTGGTGACCAGCTGCCACCCTGGAACTCCATTTACATCATCCTGGGGTTCTCTTTGATTTTCTCCTTAGATAAATGTCCTGCTTTTGGGTTTCGAGGTCTTTCTTGATATATTCCTTTATTTTGGCAGGACATCTCCTGGTAGCTTCCTAAAAACTTCTGACCTCATATACTAATCTCTTGCTTATTTAGTAGTTTGACTGCTCATTTCTTATTGGAAGTGATTTTCTCTGAGAATTTTGAAGGCATTTCTCCTCTATCTTTCTGCTGGGTGCTTAATGGGCCCTGTCAATCTGGAAACTCATAAACTTCGGTTCTAGGACATCTTTTTTTCCTTGACTCACTTCTTTCATGATTTCTTGCCCTTTGGTTTTCTGCTTCCTATTTCTGGAATTCTTATTTTTTAAATGTACCGCCTGAATGATTCTCTGTTTTATATTGGTCTCTATTGCTTTTATCTCTGGCATTTTATTCTCATTCCTAGGCATTTCTTTGTACTTTGAGTCTCTAAGGTTTTTTTCTCATTGTTTCTATTTTATTATTATTATTTTTTCTTTTAAAAATAACATCCTCTTGTTTCATGGTTTCTGTCTTGTACTAGTTGTATTTCCTCGGGAAGAATGCTCTACAGTCCAGACAGACTTAATGTGTTCAGTCGCTCAGTCGTGTCTCTTTGTGACCCCATGGAGTATAGCTTACTAGGCTTCTCTGTCCATGGGATTTCTCAGGGAAGAACACTGGAGTGGGTTGTCATTTTCTTCTCCAGAGGTTTTCCCCATTCAGGGACCATACAGTCGTCTCCTGCATTGGCAGGTGGATTCTTAACCACTGTGCCACCAGGAGAGTCCCAGACTGAATGTGTCCCCTCTACAAATTCATATATTGAAGTCCTGAACCCTGATATGATTGTACTGATGGGCAGAGCCTTTGGGGAGGTGATTAATTCATGATAGTAGATCCCTTATGAATGAGGTTAGTGCCCTTTCTAAAAATGACCCCAGAGAGCTCTCTTGCCCCTTCTACCAAGTGAAGACACAATGAGAAGGCCATCTCTGAACCAGACGCTGAATCTGCTGGTACATTGATTTTGGACTTCCCAGAACCCAAATCTAAGGGAAATAAATGTTTATTGTTTAAATAACCCAGTCTGTGGTAGTTCGTTATAGCAGGCTGAACAGATTAAGACACAGGTGTCTACGTCTTCAGGTGTTTCCTCTCATACCGGGCCAATTTCCTTGGGAAGGATCCTCCACAGTCCTGCGCAGGAGGTACAAGCTTGTCACTATCCTCAAAATGGAGATGGGAAAGGAAACTGAGTTTTTACTTTCTTTATTATTTATTTATTTTTGGTTACGCTGGGTCTTTGTTGCTGCACATGGGTACAGGCTTCTCATTGTGGTGGCTTCTCTTGTTGCAGAGCACAGGCTCTAGGCTCACGGGCTTCAGTGCTTGTAGCACACGGGCTTGGTATTTGTGGCCTGTGGGTTCTAGGGCATGCAAGCTTCAATAGCTGTGGCACAGGAGCTCATTAATTGTGACTGGTGGGCCCTAGAGCCCAGGCTGAGTAGTTGTGGTGCACAGGCTTTAGTTGCCTGTGGCCTGTGGAATCTTCCCAGACCAAGGATTGAACCCACGTCCCCTGCATTAGTAGATGGATTTCTATCCACTGTGCCACCAGGAAAGTCCTGGGTCTTAACTTTAAATATGTAAAAGTTTACTTGACTCTCCTGTGTTCAACATGATACCCTTGCTTTCAACTAGCATAGTATCCCTTGCTCCTTTAATCAGACATTGTTTGAATTAACCTGACAGTAAAGCTCTAACTTTCTGCTGGGATAGTAGAGGTATGGTCATGGGCATCACTGAGGAACTCTACAGAGCTTGCCTACAGGGGGTCAGACAGAGATGGAGAAGGGAGCCAGGGCTTACAGTGGCCGGGGCTCAGATCTTGGTGGACAATAGTCTTGCCTGCAGAGAGTCTGGGCAGGAATCCTGGCCAGCAGCTCTGCTCATCTGCAGAGCCAAGCAAGTGACCTCATCTGACCAGGGAGTTCAGCTGAACTCAGTTGGCTTTTCTGTCTGATTTTGATTTCCAGCCAATTAGCCATACCAGTCATGGAGCCCATTCTATTACCACCCAGGCAGGGAAGCCAACTCACAGCCCTGCCCCAGTGCTGAGTATAGCCTCCAATGCTTGACCAGAGTCCTGGGAAACCACAGAGCCCATTCTACAGCCCCACAGGCAACCAGGCCAGCATCTTGCTCAACTGTTCAGTTTTGCCTCTGGGCCTACCTACCCAGAGAACCTGAACAGTGACCCTGGGCAACCTTAGAATTCAACCCAGGGCAGAGTCTAACTTACAGTTCTGCCCTGTAGCTCAGCCCAGCCTATGGCCTTATCCAATTGCTAAACAAAGCCTGTGGCCCTACCCAGGCAGAGAATCTAGCCAGTGACACTGCCCCATCATGGAGCACAGCCTGCAGCGCCACCCAGCTGTAGAGCACCGTCTTCCCTTGGGTTGGTCGCTTGGATTAAGAAAGTTAATCTTACTCAGGAACATAGGTGTGCACATCTTTTGAAAATTTCCCCATTAGTTTCTGAGAAATTTTAACCATGTTTATTTTCTAGCTTTTTTATTAGTATTAGTTTTCCATTTTATGCTATCATACTTTAATTTCTAATTGTGTGTGGTGGGAGAACGTGGTTGGATTATTTTGCATGTAGGTGTCCAGTTTTCCCGACACTATTTATTGAAGAAACTATCATTTCCCTATTATATATTCTTCTTTTGTCGAAGATTAATTGGCCATATAAACTTGAGTTTATTTCTTTGCTCTCTGTTCTGTTCCATTGATCTATGTGCCTTTTTTGTCCCAATACCATACTCTTTTGATTACTGTAACTTTGTAGTATAGTTTGAAATTGGAGGGCATGATACCTCTAGTTTTGTTCTTCATTCCCAAGATTGCTTTGGCTATTTGGGATATTTGGTGCTTCCATACAAATTTTAGAGTTATTTGTGATTATTCTGTGAAATAATACACTGGTGTTTTGACAGCAATTGCATTAAACTTGTGTATTTCCTTGGGTCATATGGTCATTTCAAC